TGGACCGCCGCCAGCCCAAGGCTGCAGGTTCTGCAGGGCGCTGAGAGACGTGTTATTCGCTGCGCTCGACGCGTGGTGGTGCAGGTGTAGCGTCGTATCGCCCGGCGCTGAGCCTCGTTCTGCCGCGTGGTACATCCCCTTGCTGAGCGCTTCAGCCTGCAGTGACATCATAAGCCTATTGGCGGCCTGCCTCTCAGCTTCACGCTCCTCCGCTGTTTGTCTCCTGTCAAGACAAAGTGTAAATACGCACTGTTAGGAAAAATTTTCCTCGCTCGTGGCGCTACAAAACTTTTCTTTCAGTGATGTAAACGACAGGTTAGCTGTCATGCTTCAAATTCGGGAAGTCCGAAGGCCTACTAACCTGCTTAAAGAGTTCGTGTTTTTCAGTCCATCGAAGAAATTATAGTGCAGTACCTTGAAACAGGCCACGACTGTTTCCTTCAAAATTTTATGTGTGATAATATTTATTCCTGTTTCCTTCGTTACGGAGTGCATGGCAAAGACTTGCCCTCAGGTACCTTCAGATCACAACACACGAAGCAGTGAACCCTAGAAACGCTGCCACGAACATTGTTTTAATAACTAGACACTGAACTATGCATGACGGGCTTTAAAACTGTAATGTGTTTATGTGTGTGTTCTGAACGGTCCTGCGAGATAAGGTTTAATCCAGGTCAGTTGACAGAGTTTCGGAGTGGGTTAACGCAAACTACACCACACACTAAACTGCAGGACAGTCACCGCTTCAACGTCTAGACCACTTCATCTTATTAAACGTCGGTTCCTAAGTCTTGAAATCTGGATGAACTGCAACTGTATCAATAAAAAACACAGAAAATGGCATGCCTGTGTTACTAAGCGTCGTTTCCCAAACGATAACTGACAAATAGTCGTCTTATAAAATTAGGTATGTTACAATGTTAATGGATTTTGGTTGTATTAATATAGCTTAATGGAGCAGAATCCTTGATGTAGAGTAAATCACTCAAAATTAACGCCGTCCCCGAAGCATTAGGTCTATAGTTCTTCATGCAGCTGCTTTGTAGTCCGAATTAACCCTAGGAGATATCAATAAACGTTACAGATCTTAACGAGGTGTACGCCCATAATTTACCTACTCCATGTTACGTAAGCTTGCCATTAAATGGTACGACAAGTCGTTTTTAATTAAATGTATATATTTCATTCTGTCTTCCGGGTTGTTGCGCCGATTCATAGCTCTAATGACCGTGGCAGTATGATCTCTGAAACGTTGGTTAACATCGACCAGACTACACAGCGCAACAACCCAGAAGACAGAAATCTTCATAGCGTAGATAACTTAGAAAGAATCGCCCTGATGACGGAGGCAGTATGACCTCTGAAACGTTGGTTAACATCGACCAGACTACACAGCGCAACAACCCGGAAGACAGAAATCTTCATACTCACCGCTGTGAAAACCTCAAATGATACATATATATTTCATGTTTAGTAGATATTATTCCGACCGATGTGAAACAAAATTTTCACTAAGAACTGTGGTTGTAAACTCAGGGCAATCGCTCTGAAAATGGAGGCACTTTCTACCAGACTACACTGCGCAACAAAACAGAAGACACGCCACCGTGAAAATATGAAATCTCACAACGAATTAAATAAACATGACAAGCAGAAAATCAACAGTTTTAGGCGACAAGAAGAACATGGTTAATTGTAGTTAATAGAGCGAAGGACGGATTTATAGGTAGAGAATTACAGAGTACGGAGATGGAAAAATACAAAAATTATTAAAAAATAGAAATGATAATGAAGCAAGAATATGTTCTAAACGGTAGTTAATGTTGTCAACCTCAATATTAACAGCCTGGACAGGTGCAGTGGGCCACTTGTTTTCGCCTCGACTGTCCATCGTTACATGTGCTGAAGCCTCTAAAGCTTTCATAATTAATTAAAACCTTAATTAAACTCCCCAGCCCGTTGCTAGCCGGGACCTTAGCGTTGCGTAGACCTCAGCGTGAATCGTTTTTAGCGACGAACCAGCACGCAAACCGCTTTCTGTTATGGACTTCGGCTTCGATTCCTTGCAAGTTACAACACATCCATAGCCCATAGATCCCATCTTAGACTGGCGCATAATTCTGGGTCTGTTGACGATGCTACTTCGTGCTTTGCAGGAAAACTTGTCTGAACGATGAATTGGGAAGATGAGGAAGGATTCAGTTAGTGCCCTGTTGACGGAGGCAGTATGGCCTCTGAAACGTTGGTAAATATCGACCAGACTACACGGCGCAACAACCCAGAAGACAGAACTCTTCATAGCGTAGATAACTTAGAAAGAATCGTCCTGATGACGGAGGCAGTATGACCTCTGAAACGTTGGTAAACAACGACCAGACTACACGGCGCAACAACCCAGAAGACAGAAATCTTCATAGCATAGATAACTTAGAAATAATCGTCCTGATGACGGAGGCAGTATGACCTCCGAAACGTTGGTAAACATCGACCAGACTACACAGCGCACAGAAGACAGAAATCTTCATACTCACCGCTGTGAAAACCTCAAATCATACATAATCTATTTTCTGGTTTATGTTTGTGAAAGACTTGGGCTCTTACGCTGGAGAAAAAACGTAGATCGAAGTGTACTCTTCACTACACTGTAGGTCATATGTGAGTTTTGTTCAGCCCTGTATAATTACATGGATCCGTACTAATCATATGCGACAGTCAATTATCTGCCCCCGTTGTACGGCGTCATTACAAGGCATATTAACCAATACGCACTATTTTATTGCAGACTGTTTTTTATTAGATGACAAGGAAATTACTTGCCCCGGTGTTGTGGTCATAATGAATTAAAACTGTTACTAGTTCTGACGTTACTGCAGCTTTGCAATTTCGAAATTATCTGCGGCTGACTTTTCCAGGCGCTGACTGCCGATGCATGTTTGTACTGTGCCTCAAACTTTTAACATTAAAGCGCATTAAAACATAACAAATAAATACTTCTTAAAGAACATGTCTGCCTTCGTATGTTGCGCTGTGTAGTCTAGCAGAAGTTAACCGACGTTTCAGAGTTGCATGCTGTCTCCTTCTACCAGACTGCACGGCGCAACGTCATTTTCATATTCGTCGCCTTGAGAACCCGAAATCTCATACAACTCGTTATGACACAAGAGTCAGGAGACATACAAAATATGGGTTTAACGAAGATTACATGAGTCTATTTAAAAATGATAGACAACTTTTAGAAATGTCTCCCTCTTATGTTAGCTACAAATATTTGAAATCCCACAAAATTTCACAAGAATTTTGTTGTAATACAAAAAATAGTCTCCACATTCCTGCAAACTACATCTTTTCTCTCGTTTCCTCAGTTCTGAAACAGATGGTTTAGCTTTCCCACTTCACCGTCCACGCAGTCTGCTGATAAACGCGGGCCAAATAATGGTTCATTTATCAAATCAACATGTTCTTCGAGAATTGACAATTTCAGAGCTATCTGTTCTTTAGCTCTCCATCTTTCGACTTTTCTTCCAAGCTAAATTGCTTACTGAGGACAGCCACAAGTGTGTAACTGAGACTCGTAACTAATACTCACTGTAAAATGCAACTTCATGCAATTATCTGATGTTCTAAAACCTTATTTCTTTATGTTTTATCATACGCATTCATTCTGTTCTTCAGACATTATCAAGAGTCCCTGTACTACTATATTCTGTTTATAGGCCCTGTTCTATCTACTGTATTTTTTAACATAAACCTATTACATTACTGTCAATGTTGTGTCTATGTTATAAAATAATGTCCATAGAACAATCTTATTGAAATAAATGGAAGTACACTCTTACTGAAAATAAATTAGCCATTTCATGCTCTGTTTAGTGAGTAACAATTAATAAATTTACATTTAAATATTTTTGAATGCTATACGAGTGAAGACAAATTCTAGTTAACAAATAAGTGTGTGTCTTCAGTCGATATGTGCCCCGTTTGCAGATCGAGCTATTGAATCACGCCGGATGCGCTGAAGCTGTGGCTGAGGTTTCCAGTGTTCGTCTCTTTGACTGTTGTCAATGCTGTGGCTCTGAGTATACGGTGTACTAACTAATAATAACTACTAATAACCAGAAGAAAATTCAGTCGGCAGATATCTAGTGAAGAGTTCGGTCGAAGGAATCGGTTTACTCTACTCACGCACAATTTGAAAATCGAGTCCTTATTGATGTCGGCACAGAGCTACTCAGATGTGAATGTGTGTGCCATCTTGCCGGAATATAAGGTGAGCACATTCACATTAATGTTTTCCTCTTTGTTACTGCAATAAAATTTGTGTGAGTCCACGATGCATATTCATTACCTGTCGTATTCATTTGTTGACATAAATGCTTACTTTTATTCCCTGATATGTCAGATAATACGAATTTTTCTCAAGTGGCTTTTTCTTCTTTCATACAAATGAAGATGGCGAGTTCAGATTCAGACTGTCCGTCATTTTAGCAACGCGTTGTTAGCACACGCAGCTCAGGCCTATTGTACAAAAATTGGGCAAAATGCTTTATGTAAATCATAGCTTATTTTGTTGCTCGACCTAATGTGATAGCAAACGAATTCAATGGACATTTATTTTGAAATAATCTTTCGATATTAATTATCAAAGCTCCGAAATTAAAATTAGCAATTCGATATTTAGAACTTAGATAAACATCGAAATCGAATATGTCTGCAAAACAATTACGACATAATCACAAGAGTCATTATCCTTCGTAAAAATGAATTAAGCTTGTTTACAACAGCTCTAAGTCTGACGAAGACTGTGTATACATTTGACTTATAGTCTGTCATATGCCTTCTGAAGATGCGTCCAGGAAGCAACTTATCGCGGTTTCTCTTAACACGGCCGCAACTAAAAAACCGCATTGTCTTTCCCGATTTCTCCTTCTTTTCTGCAAAGTGCATGTGAATTATTGAGAAGTGAGTCTGTTCGCACGTCTGTCTGCTTCGTGATCCGATTTAAAATCAAAACAAAGCGAGGTAAATTGATATATGTCATTGTTCCTCCTTTGTACGAATTCTGACAGACATGACCTGCAACTGCTTTCATCATCAGAAAGGGGAGAGTTTTTAGTCTCCAGTAGTGTGTGTATAATTGTTTATTGTTGAACCGATTAGAAGTGATAAATGCAGAATTTATTAACGCCAGTGGTTCCAGAAATTCCATAGACTCAAAATGAGCAT